CCACCATGCTCACTGCTGTCCCTTGCTCCCTGCCTCCCTCCCCTCCCCCCTCTCCTTCCCCTCACTCATACACAGGCAGCAGCTGCTCTCCACCCAACCCACGCGCAGCTAAGTTCCTGCCCTGCCTCTCTACTCCCGTTCTCTCTTGTGTTCTTTGTTTCTTCTCGCTTCAAACGCAAGCCTCTGGTTCAGCCAAAGCTTCAAGCCACAGACCCTTTTTTGAAAGGTAGATCCCCCCTGGTACAGCAGGTATACTCTCAGGTTAAGCCTTCCTAGGTATATTTCCCCCTCGGGTCTGTGGCTTGTAACTGAGGTTGCACCAGTGTTCCCGTCCCCTCTGCTTCTTCTGATCGTGCATCTCCTCCTTCACCCCCTCGCCTCTCCTCCAGTCACTAACTATTTCTCTGTGGGCCATTGCAGGTGGAGGGGAGGGGCGTGGGGGTCAAAACCGCCACTCCCTCACGTCTCTCCCCTGTGGCCGTGCAGGTGGCTGTGCTGGGAGGGGAGGAGGGGAGAACTCTACTCGGCTGGGATGGGACGGGAGAGTATCGGGATGGGTCGTCTAAACCAAGTTGAGCCACTTTTCTCCTCCCTGCTACAGATGCCTCATTTCCCCCACTTCAATTCTGCATTCTCTTTTGTGTCCACTCTGGTTTACTTGAGTGTTTCCTTGATGCCAACTTACTTGCTCCTCCTGCCCCGCCTCTCCATCCCTTCCCCGCCCCCCCTGCCCCCCAACTTTCTGCCTGCTACCAGGTCACTTGGCAACAAGAGAAGATTGCAGAAGAGGAAGCAGAGTAGCAGGCCAACAGCAGCAGTTGCAGCAGCAGAAGCAGCGGCGGCAGCAGCAGTAGCAGCAGTGGGGGTGGGGGGTTAGGGGGCAGGCTAGGCTAGCTGAAGCTGTGGGGAGGTGTGGTATCAGGTATGGTACGGTAACAGGTGAGGTAAGGTATCAGGTGAGGTATGGTAGTCTGATTCTCCTCTCTCTCTTCGTCTTCCCCCCCTTGTCTTGTTTGCAGCCTGAGAGTGGGAGCACTGGAGCAAGGACACGAGAGTGAAGCCCACCCTCTCACTCACCTCCTCCTCTCTCCCTTTTCCCTTCCCTCCCAGCAGCACCCTGCCTGGACCACAGTGGAGTCCCCTCCTTCTTTTCATCCCCCCCTCCCGTCCCCCACCCCTTTCCCAGCAGCCTAAGGCATCATGGCACTCTGCATGGGTCTGGTAGGTAGAGGTAGGTAGAGGTAAGGAGGCATGGGGGTGAAGTGGGGTGGGTGGGTGGGTGGGAAGCATGGGAGTGAGTGGGAAGTTCACTGCCTTAGGGGCAGCACCTTCTAGGGTTGTGCGTTGTGGATCAAGGTGTGGTGGGTGGAATCTGCGCGGCACGGCACTCGGTGCTCAAGTAACCGATCTGGCGTTCAAGGCCTAATGGACACCGTCAGAGCCGACCGGCCGGCGGCTCTGGTTCGCGTCAGCTCTGGCTACGTCAGGGGTGGGATTTGAGTCTTGGGCTGGAAGCAATTTTCCACTACCACACCTCGCCCCCACAAGGCACCGCCTTTGGGGGTGCTGCTTTCGAAAGGGAGTGGGCTGTCTACTGCTCCTATTGCTAGCAGGTAAGATGGGGAGGGGCTGGGTGGGTGAGTGAGGAGGGGCTTTGAACACCTTGGGTGGGTGAGAGGGGTCTGAAACCCCTAGGGTGGGTGAGTGAGGGGAAAGGGGCTGAGTTCCCTAGAGTAGGTGAGTGAGGAGAAAGGGGCTGAGTCCCCTAGGGTGGGTGAGTGAGGGCAAAGGGGCTGAGTCCCCTTGGGTGGGTGAGTGAGGGGAAAGGGGCTGAGTCTCCTTGGGTGGGTGAGTGAGGAGAAAGGGGCTGAGTCCCCTTGGGTGGGTGAGTGAGGGGAAAGGGGCTGAATCCCCTTGGGTGGGTGAGTGAGGGGAAAGGGGCTGAGTCCCCTAGGGTGGGTGAGTGAGGGGAAAGGGGCTGAGTCCCCTTGGGTGGGTGAGTGAGGGGAAAGGGGCTGAGTCCCCTTGGGTGGGTGAGTGAGGGGAATGGGGCTGAGTCTCCCTGGGTGGGTGAGTGAGGGGAAAGGGGCTGAGTCCCCTAGGGTGGGTGAGTGAGGGGAAAGGGGCTGAGTCCCCTTGGCTGGGTGAGTGAGGGCAAAGGGGCTGAGTCCCCTTGGGTGGGTGAGTGAGGGGAAAGGGGCTGAGTCTCCTTGGGTGGGTGAGTGAGGAGAAAGGGGCTGAGTCCCCTTGGGTGGGTGAGTGAGGGGAAAGGGGCTGAATCCCCTTGGGTGGGTGAGTGAGGGGAAAGGGGCTGAGTCCCCTAGGGTGGGTGAGTGAGGGGAAAGGGGCTGAGTCCCCTTGGGTGGGTGAGTGAGGGGAAAGGGGCTGAGTCCCCTTGGGTGGGTGAGTGAGGGGAATGGGGCTGAGTCTCCCTGGGTGGGTGAGTGAGGGGAAAGGGGCTGAGTCCCCTAGGGTGGGTGAGTGAGGGGAAAGGGGCTGAGTCCCCTTGGCTGGGTGAGTGAGGGGAAAGGGGCTGAGTCCCCTTGGCTGGGTGAGTGAGGGGAAAGGGGCTGAGTCTCCTTGGGTGGGTGAGTGAAGGGAAAGGGGCTGAGTCTCCTTGGGTGGGTGAGTGAGGGGAAAGGGGCTGAGTCCCCTTGGGTGGGTGAGTGAGGGGAAAGGGATGGGATGAGCCCTAGGGCACTGATGCCACCTGTTGCATGAGAGCATGATGCTCATTTGGGTGGCATGGGATGAGCCCTAGGGCACTGATGCCACCTGTTGCATGAGAGCATGATGCTCATTTGGGTGGCATGGGATGAGCCCTAGGGCACTGATGCCACCTGTTGCATGAGAGCATGATGCTCATTTGGGTGGCATGGGATAAGCCCTAAGGCACTGATGCTACCAATTGCATGGCGGGGTGGGAATGGAAAGATTGTGGCGGGGTGTGGTTGGTAGTGGTGAGAATGCTTTGAAACATAGTTCGCGAATGTGTGGGAACAGTGAATGCAGACAGTGAGCGGGGACAGCTATTGGTGAGAGTTAGTGGGACAGGAAGTGGTGAATGTGAGTGAGGAGAGTGAATGGGGATGGTGAGTGGTGAAAATGATAAGTGAGATTGAGTGTGTAAGTGGGTGGTGAGAATTGGGGTTGAGTGTGTAAGTGGGTGGTGAGAATTGGGGCTGAGAGTGTGTGGTGAAATGGAGTTGCATTAGTGAATGCGACAGCGAGTGGTGAGATTGTGAGGCGAGAGTAGAGTGAGTGGTGACAATGAGTGTTGAGTAATATGCTTTCGTGGCGAATGGGTGACAAGATGGACATTTAATGGTGAGGGTTAGGATTCCAAAGGAGTTCAAAGGTTAGCAGCGGGATAGTGAGCTGTCAGCGAGTGGTGAGATAGAGTCTGATTGAGTGTTGTGAGTGGGCGGTGGCAACAGTTGGGGAGAGTGACTAGGGACAGTATTATATGAGTTTGAACGGGGGAGAGTGAGGTTTGTGCATGCTTTGCTCAAGGTCAGTTCAGAGACATATGGTGAGAGTGAGTAGTGGCATTGGGTGTTGAGAGTGTGATGAGAATAAGCGTTAAGAGTGTGTGTGGCGACAAATGGTAACAACAAAGGGTGAATTGAGAGTGTCGAGGATGAGTGGGAAGAAGGTGGTCACAAATAATTCCGCCTACATCCTTGTATTGTACAAATCACCTTACACATGTTTAAGCCAGAGTAACTATCGCCATCACCAGGCTCTCTTTGGTTGATATCCATCTCCCACCTATATATGCCGTATATATGAAATTACTGGATGCAGTTTGGACTGATTGTGTTACGTTTGCCGCTCAAGTCAATCATTTCAATCCCGAAGGCTTTTTGGTGTTTGATGCAACTAAGAGAAGGGATGACTCGCACCTCTGTGCTGTACATGCACTGTAGATCCATGGAGAGGCAGATGTGGGCTGTACAAATCTTTTCCAAATGGGATCTGGCTCGGCAGAATTTTCAGACCCAACAACCGCAAAGTTGCGATGCGGTGCGAACAAGGCTGCAAATCCCCGCGTCAATGACTTCCCGCACCAAAGCCGAACCACCTTCCCCGTCCAGCCCAACCACCGAATTCTTCATGCCTGCCCTGCAACTCCCCCGCACCTTCCCGTTTCCCCCAATCCCCCCGAACCAGGTGTTGCGCAGGTCTCCGCCAGCCCATACCCTGTCCGCCTTCCGCCAGGTGCAAGGGGCGCTCTGCTGACCAATCACAGGCATCCGTTTGCCCCTTTCGTCAGCACAGCCATTCTACAGAAGCGCTTTTCGCCGCAAATGGCAAATCCCAGGGTGACCAGCTCAGCAAGGCCAGCCCCGATTTTCTCCCTCTTCCCCCACGCGGCTCGGAGTGTTGACCGCGCACTCGGCAAGACAATGCGGTTGCGCAGCCGTCCTTCCCCCGAGTGCTCCCCGCGCGCCCGGCAATGATGCGTTGCGCAGCCGACTTGCTAGACTCTCTCCCCTCCCTCCTCCCTCGATTCTGCTCTGCACTAGCACATATGTACGCGACTCTTTTGCAGAGCTCATATCAAATGGTCATTGCCTTGACATCTCGAAGTCCGTGCTCTGATTCTTTATATGAGCATTTCCAATTCCAGCTTGCGATTTTCATTCGTCCGGCATTGAAAAAGTAGCTTGGAAAGAAAAAGAGTAGCATCCACTTTTATCAACATTCAAGAAGACACTTCATTGATTCAAGCACTGGCATGGTGGCAAGGAAGCTTTTTCTACCATCATTGTATTTATCATCATCCGGCCGCATTTCTCTCACTACCCCCTGCGCATCGGGGAAGCGGGAGGATAATTCATCCGGTTTCTTGATCCACATCTCCTCAGCAAAGAACGATTCTTGCGGAGTGTTGATACATCGGCAACTACTTGTCGCCATAACGATCAAGAAAAGTCATATCTCATCGTGTATCCATGGCGCGAAGCTTCCGAGAGCTGTCGTCAATGTCGACGCTGATGTTCTTGTCACTGTTGGTCCTATCCTCCTCGACCGACGCGTTGAGGCCATTTGACAGATTGCGGCCAAGAGCAAGCGAGAGCCAACGAGCGACAACCACGGTCAAGGGAGAGCCTCTAAAAACAGGTACGCTTCCCGTATGGTGTGCTTGTGCGGCGTAGTGCGTGCGTAACGTGCGCGTAGTGTACCGCTCCGCATGTATCGCTGCACATGTACCGCTGCACGTGTACCGCTGCTCGTGTACCGCTGCACGTGTACCGCTGCACATGTACCGCCGCACATGTATCGCTGCACATGTACTGCCGCACATGTACCGTGACCGGATGCTCGCAAATATACTCCCGGGTGCATTCCGCCCTTTCCGTCGCCAACCTGGGAAAACTTCAGTTTGGTTTTGTTGTTGTTATTATTATTTTCGCAAATCATTCTAGAATCTTCCCTCATTCCCCCTCCCCCCCGGTCCTCGTTCTTCTTTCCCCCCCGTTCCGCAGTCTACATCGTCCGCTTCCACGCCATGCCCCCCGCCGCCACGTACTCTGGCGGAATCCTCGGCTTCCCCGCAACCGCTGCGCCGATGGACGACTCCGACGACGGGCTCATCGCCAGCGCGGCTTCCGCGGGGTCGGGGGGAGCCGGCGGTCTGCGCCGCGCGTTCGACGCGTCGCAGCCGCACGTGCGCGCGTACGCGGCGCATCTGGTGCGCATGCACGGCGCGGTGCTGGCCGAGGCGGGGGTCGACAGAAGCGCGCACGTTTACAGGTGAGTGAGGCTGTCTGTAGCAGGGCGCTCAGGGAATCAGGTGAAGATTATCATACGAGGGTGCGGTGCCGGCGGAAGAGGGGGTCGACAGCAGCGCGCATGTATACAGGTGAGGCTGACTGTAGCAGGGCTTTCACAGATACAGGTAAGGTTAATCATAAGAGGGTGGGCCTAGGAACACGCAGGTTCGGTTGATCGTAGCAGGGTGCGGACAGGTACAGGTTCGGCTAGAGGGTGAGGTTGAACTTACTTCAAACATTAGGATATGCAGACAATTAGTTGGTCTTTTCAGCCTTTTGGTCTTTGCCTGGGATAATCTCCTCTCCATCGTCCTATCACCCTTCCTTTTTCGCAGCTACACATACGCTCTCAACGGCGTAGCAGCGACGCTCACTCCGCAGCAAGTGGAGATCCTCAAGCGACGGCCAGAAGTGGGGTCGGTGAGAGAGGCGCCCAAGTTCGAGCTGCACACGACCTTCAAACCCACGTTCCTCAACCTGCGCAACTCCTTCCCATTGTCCCTCCATTGCCCTTCCATCGTCGCAGCTACACATACGCTATGAACGGCGTAGCAGCCACGCTCACTCCGCAGCAAGTGGAGATCCTCAAGCGACGGCCAGAGGTGGGGTCGGTGAGAGAGGCGCCCAAGTTCGAGCTGCACACGACCTTCAAACCCACGTTCCTCAACCTGCGCAACTCCTTCCCATTGTCCCTCCATTGCCCTTCCATCGTCGCAGCTACACATACGCTATGAACGGCGTAGCAGCCACGCTCACTCCGCAGCAAGTGGAGATCCTCAAGCGACGGCCAGAGGTGGGGTCGGTGAGAGAGGCGCCCAAGTTCGAGCTGCATACGACCTTCACGCCCACGTTCCTCAACCTGCGCAAGCGCGTGTGGAGCAACGAGACGCTACAGAACGGGCAGAAGGGCGCGGGGCAGCAGGGCGAGGACGTGATTATCGGCGTGATTGACACGGGGATTTGGCGGGAAAACCCTGCTTTCAGTGAGGATGTGAGTATAACGAGGGGAAGGAGAATGCGGCCTGTTGGGCTCTCGTCTCACCCTCACCTCTTCCCACCCTTCCTTTATCTCATCCTCCCCTCACTTCATCTCACCCTTCCCTGTTCTCTCCCCCCCCGTCTCAACCTCTTTTCGTTTCACCCCGTCCCTCACTTCACCCTTCCCCCACTTTCCTTCTCCTCCCCCACTTTCCCCCTCGCGATCCAGGTCTCTCCGCCGTACGGCCCAGTGCCAGCTCAATGGAAGCCCTCTTCTTACCCCTCCTTCCTCTCACCCACTTGTCCTTCCCCTTCCTTTCCCTTCCCTCTTCCCCCCCCCCCTTTCCCCCCCCACCTCCCCCTCCCCCCTCTCCCCTCCTCAGGTCACTCCGCCCTACAGCCCAGTGCCAGCGCAGTGGAAGGGGTTTTCTTACCCCTCCCTCCTCTCAACCACTTCTACTCCCCCTGTCCTCTTCCCCCCTCCTCGACCCAGGTGACCCCGCCCTACGGCCCAGTGCCAGCGCAGTGGAAGGGGTCTTCTCACCCCTCCCTCCTCTCCTGTCAACCACTTCTACTCCCCCTGTCCTCCTCCCCCCTTGGAACCAGGTCACCCCGCCCTACGGCCCAGTGCCAGCGCAGTGGAAGGGGGCGTGCATGACGTCAGCGGACTTCCCCAGCTGCAACCGCAAGCTGATCGGCGCGCGGGGGTTCTTCCAGGGGCTCGAGGCGTCGGGGTACACTATGGACTGGACCATCGACTATAAATCGGCGAGAGATGTGGCGGGGCATGGCACGCACACGACAAGGTAGGGGGCATGGGGCCTCAACAGCTAGCGGTGCAGGCTGGAGTGCCGCCTGCAGTGCAAGCTGATTGGCGCGCGGGGGTTCGTCCAGGGGCTCAAGGCGTCGGGGTACACTATGGACTGGACCATCGACTATAAATCGGCGAGAGATGTGGCGGGGCATGGCACGCACACGACAAGGTAGGGGGCATGGGGCCTCAACAGCTAGCGGTGCAGGCTGGAGTGCCGCCTGCAGTGCAAGCTGATCGGTGCGCGGGGGTTCGTCCAGGGGCTCAAGGCGTCGGGGTATACCATGGACTGGACCATAGACTATAAATCTGCACGGGATGTGGCGGGGCATGGCACGCACACGACAAGGTAAGGATTGGGAACGGGTGGGGCTGCTAGAGGTGCCGCCTGGAATGCAAGCTGATCGGCGCGTGGGGTTTCTTCCAGGGGCTCAAGGCGTCGGGGTACACCATGGACTGGACGATTGATTACAAGTCGGCGAGAGACGTGGCCGGGCATGGGACTCACACGACCAGGTAGGGACCATACGAGCAAGAGGTGCGAGAAGGCGTCAGGGTACACCATGGACTGGACGATCGACTACAAGTGAGCGAGAGACGTTGCCGGGCATGGGACGCATACCACCAGGTAAGGCATGGGGTTGCATGCAGCAGCAGCAGGTGCGAGCTGATTGGCGCGCGGGGGTTCGTCCAGGGGGTCAGGGCGTCAGGGTATACCATGGACTGGACCATCGATTATAAGTCCGCGAGGGATGTTGCCGGACATGGGACGCACACCACCAGGTGAGGCATGCGGAACACAGCAGCAGGTGGCCGGGGCTTAGCCAGGGGTGCAGCCTGGACTGCTAGCCGATTGACGCGCAGGGGGTTCTTCCAGGGCCTCAGGACGTGACCATCCCTTGCCGACTTGTAATGAAGAGCCCACTTCATCACAAGTCAGAGCAGGGGGGCATGGGGGCGCAGAGCAGCAGGGTCGTGGGCGCTCCACCCATCCCCTCTTTCCGTCCTGCTCTCACCGTCCCGCTCTCACCGTCCTTCCCTCTCCTCCTGTGCCGTGCAGCACGGCGGGTGGCAACACAGGCGTGGAGGTGAAGCTGAACAGTGAAGCTCAGCTACCCTCCTATTCTTCCATTCCTCCTGCTCCCCTCCCTCCCTCCCTCCACTTGTGCAGCACGGCGGATGGCAACACAGGCGTGGAGGTGAAGCTGAACGGTGCAATAGCGTGACAGGCGGTATTCAGCAATGCTTTATCCTCCTCTTCTTCCACTCTCCAACTCCCTCCACCCTCTCTTTCCGCCTGTGCAGCACGGCGGGTGGCAACACAGGCGTGGAGGTGAAGCTGAACGGGGTGTCGTTTGGGACAGCCAGTGGCATGGCGCCACGTGCACGCGTGGCCATGTATAAGGTGGGCCTGTGGGCAGTGCACGGCACTGCACGGCACTGCATGGCGTGGCATGGCGTGTACTTGATGACGTGTACAAGGCATTAGCATGGCATGGTATGTGATGGCATCACCTGCCCCTTCCCGTTCCCGACTGCCACTCACCCTCCTCTCTTCTCATCTATCTTCTCCGCTCCTTGCTCTCCTCCCCCCGTAAAGGCCTTTTGGGCAGTGGAGGAGAACGGGTCGGGCATTCTCAAGGCCGTGGGTTGGACTGTGAATGCCTGACCCGTTCTCCTCCACTGCCCAGAAGGCCTTGAGAATGCCCGACATTGGAGGAGAACGGGTCGGGCATTCTCAGGACTGTGGACGTCCTGCGCCTCTTGCTTCGTGCAAGCAACCAAGCAACTCAACTCAACCCCCTTTCTCGTCTGCTCTCCCCCTTCCACGACCATCAACGCCACCCCGTCGCCACCCCCCGGTTCCCCCCTCCTTCCCCTGCAGGTGTTCTGGGCGACGCAGGAGAACGGGAGGGACAACTGTGATGGGTCGGACATTCTCAAGGCCGTTGATACAGCCGTGGCGGACGGCGTGGACATCATCAGCCTGTCGGTGGGCCGTCAGGCGCCTCTCTTCTTTGACGACGACGAGATCATATACCTCAATGCTGCTAGAGTGAGTGGCTTGAAGCAGTTCTCTCCAGTGCAAGCTCATTCGCAGCAGTCCTGTGCAGCAGTCGGAATGGATGTCATCAGCCTGTCAGTGGGCCGCCAGGCGCCTATGTTCTTTGACGACGACGAGATCATATACCTCAATGCTGCTAGGGTGAGTGGGTGTGCTTTGTGACAGTCCTTCCCAGGATGAGCGGGCTCCTTCACAGCACTTTCGTGCAGCAGCCGTGGCGGGCGGGGTGGACATCATCAGCCTGTCGGTGGGCCGCCAGGCGCCTCTCTTCTTTGACGATGACGAGATGATCTACCTCAATACCGCCAGGGTGAGTGAATAGGGTGTGTGGGCTTGTGGCAATTCTCCCTCCTCAGAGTGGGCTCATTCACGAGGTCGTGCCATGGATACAGCCGTGGCGGATGGTGTGGACGTGATCAGCCTGTCTGTGGGCCGCCGGGCGCCTCTCTTCTTTGACGACGACGAGATCATATACCTCAACGCCGCCAGGGGGAGTTGGGGCTTGTAGTAATCCCCCCTCCACAGGGTGAGTGGGCTCATTCACCACTCATCACAGCCTTTGCTCCTTGTCTCTCCACCTGCCCCTTCCCCCCTCTACTCCCTCCCAACAGGCAGGGGTGCTGGCGTCAGTATCAGCAGGCAACAGCGGTCCCACCACAGTGGGAGGCGCCTTTTTCCGCAGCATAGGCCACCCGTCCCCCTGGATGATCACCGTTGCTGCCAGCTCTCCTTCCACCTCGTCCCTCCCACTCACACCCCTCCAGGCAGGGGTGCTGGCATCGGTATCAGCGGGCAACAGCGGACCCACCACAGTGGGAGGCGCCTCCCTCCCCTGCCCACCTCTCCACTCCACCCATCCACCCCCCTTACTCCCCCCCACCTCGTCCCTCACTTACAGGCAGGGGTGCTGGCATCGGTATCAGCGGGCAACAGCGGACCCACCACAGTGGGAGGCGCCTTCTTTCGCAGCATTGGGCACCCCTCCCCCTGGATGATCACCGTTGCTGCCAGCTCCCACGGGCGCAACTACATGACTGATATCACCGTCAATGGGGACACGTTCTCGGGGCGGTCAATGCAAGGAGGGGGCGAAGGGGAGCTGATTCTGGGCAGGAACGGCGTGAAGGCTGGAGGGAATTCCTGGATGGTGAGTGAGGGTGGAGTAGAGACGACTAGGGAGGGAGGGGAGGGAGGGGAGGGAGGGGAGGGAGGGGAGGGAGGGGAGGGAGGGGAGGGAGGGGAGGGATGGTGAGTGCTGCGAGCTCCCACGGTCGCAACTACATGACGGATATCACCATCAATGGGGACAAGTTCTCTGGGCGGCCCATGGTGGGGACAGGCACGGGGGAGGTGATTCTGGGGAGGAACGGCGTGAAGGCTGGAGGGAATGAGTGAGCAAGTATGGTAGCTACCATAGGGGTGGCGGGCGATGGGGAGCTAATCCTGAAGAAGAATGCTGTGAAGGCCGGAGTGAGGGGGAACTCGTGGATGGTGAGTGAGTGAGTGAGTGAGAGAGTGAGTGAGAGAGTGAGTGAGAGTGAGGCCACCAGCAAGATTGTTGTCAGCTGAGAGTGTTGGTGGGTGGGCCTCCGAGATGTCAACCCTCCCCCTGCCTCCATTCCTCTCGCTTCCCCCCCGCACCCCAACCCCTTCACAGGCCGGTGTGTGTGCATCAGGCACCCTCGACCCAGCCAAGGTCTCGGGTAAAATCGTGGTGTGTCGACGCGTATCCCAGTTTGGAGGGTGGAGCTCAGAAGACCTCCTCCCTATAAGCATCACCGTTAAGAAGGCTGGCGCTGCTGGTGTGATCATATACAACGCGGATAAGGCAGATCGTGTGGTGGCTGTGCTGCACCCAATCCCCGCGTGCCACCTGGACCGGTACACTGGCAAGCGGCTCGTGAAGCTTCTGGGAAACTCCACAGGGTGAGTTGCGGGGTGGGCGGGTTAGTAGATGGGGGGGAGGAGGGGGGGGAAGTTGAAGTGGAAGAGTGGGGTGGGGGGGTGGAAGTGAATGGGGTGGGGATGCAGAAGAGCATTGGAAGGGGACAAAACAAAGAGGGAGGGGAAATGGAGAGGGAAGGGGCAGAGGGAAGTGGCAAGTATCCGAGCCACCATATCAGCATAGCCTGCTCAATGCGCGATAATCCTTCCACCCCCAACCGACCAACATCAGCCCATATCCGTGCCCTTCTGCCCTGCGTCCCCCTCCCCTCTATCACCTCCTTCTCTTCCTTACCCTGCTTCATCCCACCCACACATGGCTCTCCTCTCACCGCTCCCCTCTGCCCCACTTCCCTCCCCTTAACCACCCCAGAATATAAAGCAGCTGCCTTACACAAGGCCACCATATCGGCCTCGTATATAAAGCAGCTGCCAGCGCCCACCATCACGTCCTTCTCCTCCACGGGCCCCAATGTCGACCCCGCGCTGGACGCCACGGAGGGGGGCAAGTACTCCTCCCTTGGGCCTCACACATGCCTGTTGCTCCTCCCTCCCTCTGCCCCCAATGCCCCCCGCTCCCCTGCTCCCAGCATAAAGGCCACCATATCGGCATTGTGCATCAAGAAGCTGCCAGCGCCCACCATCACGTGCTTCTCCTCCACGGGGCCAAACGTGGACCCTGTCTTGGACGCCACGGAGGGCGGCAAGTACTCCTCCCTTGAGCTCTACTCACTCCTCATCTCACCCTCTTGCTCTTCCCCTGCTCTTCCCCTGCTCTTCCCCTGCTCTTCCCCTGCTCCCCTTGATTCCCCCAGCATAAAGGCCACCATATCAGCCTCATACATCAAGAATCTCCCAGCGCCCACAATCACCTCTTTCTCCTCCACGGGTCCCAACGTGGACCCCGTGCTGGACGCCAGGAAGGGTGGCAAGTACTCCTTCAGACTCTACTGATGTGCTCAACTCATGCCCCATGTCACCCTCTTTCGCCTGCCCTCCTCTTCCCCACTGCCCCCTACTGCCCTGCGCCCCACTCCACGGCTCTGCTCTCCCCTGCTCCCCCTCCAGAATCAAAGCCACCATCTCGTCATCATACATCAAGAATCTGCCAGCGCCCACCATCACGTCCTTCTCCTCCACGGGACCCAACGTCGACCCCACCCTGGACGCCCGCGAGGGCGGCAAGTACTCCTTCGGGTACAACGACGTCTTAAAGCCCGACATCACCGCACCGGGGCTCGAGGTGTGGGCCGGGTGGACCCAGTCACCCTTCCAGGAGCCCTACGGGATCGCCTCAGGCGTGGTCCCTGCTGCCTCCATGTCCCACCTCCTGATCAGTGGGACTTCCATGTCCTGCCCACACATCTCCGGCCTCGCCGCAATCATCAAGGGGAAATACCCCAACTGGTCGCCCTTTGCCCTCAAATCCGCGCTCATGACCACGGCGTACACCCTAAACAACAAGAACAAGCCGATTTACTCGGCCGGGCAGCTACGAGCAGCAGACCCATTTGATTATGGCACGGGACACGTTGACACGTTTAAAGCCCTGGACCCAGGGCTAGTGTACGACTCTACAGTGCTGGAGAATGTGAAGTTTCTTATAGCGGTTGATGCAGTGGATGTGAAGCAGACGTCGGCGTACTGGGCGGTTGCCAAGGACAAAAGGACGCCGCTGGACCATCCGTGAGTTCCCCTTTCTTGTCCCTTGGCACTTTCGTCTGCTCTGCACACTTCATCACTCTGCAATACCTTTTCTCGATTGTTACTGTCAATTCTCTGTTTGTTTTTTTCTTGTTTGTGTTCCAACATCCTATTCGTTTGTATTGCCTCCTGTCACACATGAATCATGTGCCCTTCGGATGGGTGAGACTGTTTGGCACGAGGTGGAGCATAGACGTGCGTGCCCCTCGCCTATCCCCACCTTGCCTGTACGAGCCTTTTCACAAGACGAAAAAAATATATGCCTGTACATTGTTCTCTCCCATTAATTCCAGGTACAATCTAAACCAGCCAAACATCGCAGTGAGCAATCTCCGGGGATCTACCACAGTAACACGGACCGTAACGAATGTTGCTAAAACTGCAAGCACATACACAGCAACAATTTCTCAGCCGTCGGGAGTGACTGTAACGGTGGCGCCTTCGTCCTTCACAATTCAACCAGGAGCGAAGGCGACATACACTGTCACATTCAAAGTGGTGACGCAGTCTATCAAATTTGTATTTGGCAGTCTTGTCTGGAGTGATGGCAAACACTCAGTGCGCTCCGTGCTTGCTGTCCAGCCCTTCCGCAAGTAGCTTGTGACCTTCAAAACAAATATCACCCTTTAGAGCCCCCACCCCTTCAGTAATTTTTGAAGCAATGTTTTGCTTATTATTGAATTATAAGATTACTTGTTGTACAGAACACCTGACACCGCGACAAGAAGAGCACCGATTTGATTACCATTCTTCGTCGTCAAACTTTTTCTTCGCTCGCCAAAAACTGCCATAACCACTTATCGTAACGTCACATCACGTCAACTGACCGTCGCTTACCAGAGCCGCCAGGCGTCGCCAGCCTGCGAAGCTCGTCGCTCAATCGCCCAGGCTCAGCCGCACGCACACCATCCCTGGTCGTCGGCGTCGCGCAGCCATGGCGGACAAGGCAGCGAGTGCCGCGAGTTGTGTGCCGTGCTTTCTTCCCTTCCCTCCCGTCCAATCCCACCCACCTCATTTGTTCCTCCTCATCCGTACATTGTACTACGGCATTCCTGCTGCTCATGCCTGCAGCAGCTCTTCTTTAGTTCCCTCCCTAGCTTCCCCTGCCTAACTCGCTCGAGTGGTACATCTTTCGCCTTTGTCGCATATCGCAGTTCCGTGGTCCTTTCGTACGTTCATGAGACCCGATTTAGTTTCCCTTTCGCGCCAATGGCAGCGCCACAACTTTAACCCTAATTTTGCCTTGACGCAAGAGTACCCTATTGAGATGCCAAACACTTATCATACTCCATAGCCGCCGTTCTTTCGCCAATGGCATATCTTCCTGAAACCGGTACACCCTTAAGCGTCTCCTCGTTAAACTCTCTCTAAGTTAGTAAACTCGTTAGTCGATTGATCGAGCCTTCCGAACTTCCCCAAGTCGCGATACCAGCGAGCCGCCATGTTCAAGAACTTTTACGGCCAATCGCAGCCGCCGAGGTCGCCGTCGAAGCCGCCCGATGCGGCGGCGAAGTTCCTCGCGCACTCGCGGAGCATGCCGCCCTTCCGCAACCCCGCGGCCGCAGGCGGAGCGGGAGGCCTCGCCCCCCCGCTCCCCACGGCGCTCTCGACCTCCTCCTCCGCCTCCGCTACCCCGATATTCAACGACGAGCCGACGAGCGACATCCATATTGAGATTTTAAACCGTAAAGGGGAGCTGCACGCGGTTCTTAATCTCCACACCTCCGTGCTCCGCGAGCAGAGCGACTATTTCTTCAACGCGCTCGCGAAGCGCGCCGTGCGCGATCCGATCCAGGGCGCGACGATCTCGCACGACGCCGCGGGGACCACCTTCACGATCCAGGCCAGCGGCCACGTGGCAGACCCTGACGCTTACGTGTCAACCTTCCGCATGTTCTACCTAGAAGAAGAGGAGCTTCCCGATGAAATCCAGTGCTTAGGCTCCGTATGGCGCGTTCTAGAAACCCTAGTAGTTTCGTCGGAGCTGCAATTTCACATGTGCACGAGCGCGTGCGTGGATTATCTCGAGTCTGTACCGTGGAACGACGATGAGCTGGAGGAGATCCTACGGTTGGTGTCGCAGCTGGAGCATCTGCAGGACGCGCGCCCGATCCTCGACCGTCTGCCGGTGCGCACGTGGGACGAGGAGAGCATCTCCGACGCGCTTCGGATCCTGCTCATCCGCGCCGTCGCGTTTCACGACAGCCGCCAGGGCGCGGGGAAGGCGGAGGGGGAAGAGTCCGCGGGGCGGGGGGTGGCGGGGGCGGGGAGGGGCGGCGGAAAAACGGCGGAGGTGGCTCCGGGGACGATTGAGTGCCGAGAGGCGGCGAGCGCGATTCTGCGGAACCGCCATGAGCCGACGCTTAGTCTTAAGACCAAGAAGGCTGTTCTTAGAGAGACGTTCGTCGATCTCCTACAGTGCCTTTGGTCCGAGCAGCGGGAGTTAAAGCGTAGAAACTCGTCGTGCACGCGCGCCGCGGCGGCCGCTATGGCGGGATCGGGCGGGGGCGCGGGAGGCGGAGCGCCCAGCCCGTCCCCGCGCACCCCTAGAGACGCTCCGCTTCCCGTCCCCGCCACGTCCCCCGCAGGGGCGCGCGGGGAAGCCTCCCCCGCCGCGCAGCATGACGCCCCTGCGCCGTCCCCGCGCCCGCGGGGGGAGGAGCAGGCAGGCGGGGGCGGGGGGGGGCTGAGCGGGAACGACGAGGGGATGCTGGAGATGGTATACGGCGCGCAGGGCGCGCTGACGTGGCTCGTGGGGCTCATGCTCGAATTCGCCATGGCGGACGAGGTCTTTAAGTGGCTCGCCACTGATAACGAGTTCGTCTCGCAGGTTCGGCAGAGCTGCTCCCTGACGCAGCGCCAGGCTCGGGCCGAGCCTGCCGAGGCCGAGGGCCTGCTGGCAGCCCAGGCTGTAGGTCCGGGATTCGTTAAGAGCTTCAGTTTCTCGACGCAGGGGCTGGAGACTGTAAACGAGGATGACGGGGGCGCGGAGGGCGGGGTGGGGGAGGGGGAGGATGGCGGATTAGACAGTGTTGGGACTCCAGGGAAAGGGCAAGGAGGGGGAAGAGGAGGGGGGAGCGGAGGGGGGAGCGGAGGGGGAAGCGGAGGGGGAGGGGTTGGGGCAGCAGCAGCGTCAGCAGGGGTGGTGCCGCCTGGGGCACTGTACGTGGTGAAATCCGCGCTAGTGGGAACCATGACTGCAATGCTATCGAAGCGGCTTGTAGCGAATCCGCAGCTGCGCGTGTCGTTTGTGCGGCTGTGGCTGCCTGTGCTGCTGGAAATCTGCACTTCTGTCAGCAGTCGCGGTGGCAGCAGCAGCGGGAGAAACGGCAGCAATGGGAGCAGCAGCAGCAGCAGCAGTAGCAGAGAACCCCCTTCAACCTCCCTTGCTCAACCTGCTCCTACCAGCACACCCAACGCCAAATCCCAACAGCAACACCAGCAGCAGCAGCAGGTGCGGTATCAGCTGTTAGGCTTTGATCTAACCCCAGAGGAGCGAACAGCGCTAGTGTCTGGATTCAACGAACTTGTTCTCACCCTGCCCGCCCACGAGCAACTCAACACCTACACCCTCTGGTACCAAATCGCCTTCTGGACAAAACACGCCGGCCATGCCTCCCACGCCCTGCCGCCCCTGCCGTCCCCCATTGCCGCTGCTGCTGCTGCTGCCCGCGCGTCTCTCTTCTCCTCCCGCCCTGCGCTGCCTGAGCTGGCGATTCCAGAGGCGGGGGGTGCGGAGGGGGGTGGCGGAGGAGGGAGAGGCGGAGGGGGGAGCGGAGGGGGAGGTGGGGAGAGGGAGGAGGAGAGTTGGTTCAGCCTGTCGCATGCGTATCGCAAGTGGCTCATACGGTTGGGCAGGCCGTGTTGAGTTTCGAGGCGTCTCATAAGGGAGGTAGCGAGCGAGGGGGGAGTTTTGAGTCGACTCAAATTGGGGGCTGGTGGGAGAGGGAGGGTTTTTTAGTCGACTCACAATGGGCCGGCGAAGGAGGGAAAATGGGCTGGGTCAGCTGGTCGTATGCATCAAGAAAGTGGTTCATTTAGCTGGGTGACTTTTGAGTCGACACAAGAGTCACTTCATTCAGCCGGGTAGGCTCTGCCGAGTTCTGAAGGGCGGCGAGAAGGAGGAATGGTTGAGGCGTCAAAGAGCGGGGATGAGAGGGAGGATTCTTGAATTGGCCCACAAGGGGGTGGGAAGAGGGAGAGGAGTTGGTTCAGCCTGTCATAGTAAGTGTAATGTATCGGAAATGGCTCATTTGGTTGGATAGCCTACGCCGAGGCAGGCTTCGTTAAGTTGGGTTGTGGCGAGGCGGGCTGTGGTGAAGGCATTACGCTAAGGTGCATGGGGTCAGCTACAGACTGTACTGGCAGGGCACTGGGGCCAGTGGCATCATGTACACACGGGGATTCTTCTGGACTCTGCTCCTTTGAGCACGTGGCATCATGTACGCATGGCACAGGGTGGTGGGTCGTCTCGGGCGACCAAACTTGGTTGTGCGCTGTTCATCCCCTGGCCGTGTGCAGTACTCTTGCCTAGACACGGTCTCAGCAGTAAACCTGCGTGCCTGCTCCATCGGTTAACCGTTCTAACTGACCTCTGTCCACCCTCCCACTCATGCTGCTTGCCATACGGCCTTGGGACTCTCACCCAGGATGCCTTGCCCTGTAGCTTGCTCTCTTCTTCCTAGGTTTCTCATGCCTAGTCTCTCCAGCTGATCTTTGAGCCTGCTTATAGCGAGTATTTTGATGACTCACCTTAATAAATTATGTATGTCTGCAAATGGTGTGATGTAATGTGGGGAGGAAGGTAGGAGGAGCATTTCCAATTCTCCCTGGTAGGTACTTTTCTGACCGCGCTGCTTCACTATCCTCACTGCACTTGCTCGCAACAACCCACAGTTGCTGGCAACCCCAGCATAGACTACTGTTAGCCCTGCCCACCCTCTTTCTCTGAAGGCGATCCGATTCCGATACCGTACCTCGAGATTGGTTGCACGGCAACAGCAGCTGCCATGCCAGCACGAGCATCACAGCACGAGCGTACATTTCAGAACAGCCTGACATCATTTTGGTTTCCTTGCAGAAAGGACATGCGAGGGCAGCATGAAAGCATTCGGACCGGGGGTGACAACCACATGCTTCCATCCCAGAGATCTAAAATACTCTGCATAGGCCGGCACGTGCATCACATCCCACACTATCACCCTCCCCCCTGGCTTTAGGACTCTCGCAACCTGCTGCAGCACCCGCTGCCTCTCCTTTTCCGCCGCTTGAGGATCCGTGTCTTCTAGTACCTGGAGAGTGGATGGACAGGGGGGAGGGACCAGGGGAGGGAAGGAGGGGAGGGGATGAGGTAAAGGAATCAAATACTCTGCATAGGCCGGCACGTGCATCACGCCCCACACTATCACCCTCCCCCCTGGCTTTAGCACTCTCGCCCCCTGCTGCAGCACCCGCTGCCTCTCCCTCTCCGCCGCTTGAGGGTCCGTGTCTTCTAGTACCTGTCATGTGCATGGACAGGAGCGGAGGAAACCGGAGGGGGAGTGGGAGGAGGGAAGGGGGAAGGGAATCAGGATCACCGCCCTTTGAACGGGCTACAAGGCGTATGGAAGCAGTGGCGTGCAGCCAAAGAGCAGAAACAAAAACATCGGAAGAGCTGTCAGGGAAAGGCAGGCAGTCAAAGGCACCCGAGATGATAGCAAATCAGGCATGTAGTACACGGCTGGCACATACAGAAGCAATGGCGTGCAGCCGAAGGGCAGAGACAACGACATCGAAGTATGCATCAGGGAAGGGCAGACGGTCGAACGCGCCCGTCTTGCACGTCACCAGCGCCCCCACGCCCTCCCTCGCTGCTGCTCTCAGTGCCCCTGCCATGCTCCCCACTGCTGGCGCTGACACTGCTGCTAACCCACTGGCTGGAGCAGCAGAGGCAGAGGGAGCGGCTCCAGCTGAATTCCTGCCTGGGTGGCCTGCTTTGGCTTTATCTGCTCTTCTGTGCCGCATGTTCTTGCCACTGCTGCTGCTGCTGCCACTGGCACCAGCGTCAGCATTAGCACCGTCAGCCCCACCGGCAGCAACCCCATTGGCACCATCCCCAGCATCAGCAGCACCGGCAGCTGCACCTTTCAAACTTCTACTCCGTTCCACTTCCAGTCTGCTGCTACTGTTAACCCCAGCAGCCCCACCAGTAGCACGGCTGTTGGTCTCCCAGCTATCAAACCCAATGGCCCGCCCCTCCCCGCCACACTCCAGTAGTTGCAGCCCCAGGCTTGCTAGCAGCACACCACGGCCGCTCCCCAGGTCCAGAGCGGTGCGGACCGGTTGCCAGGCGGGGACGAGCGAGAGCATGTGGCGGGCGAGGCGGGGGCGGAGGAGCAGCGAGGTGCGGAGGTTGGCGGAGAGGGTGAGGGAATAGGCGAAGGTAAGGAGGAGCGCCAAGGCTGCTGAGAACTCCACGAGGAAACTCGCGATCTGAGGTGATGGGAAGGGAGGAGGGAAGGGTGAGGGAAGGAGGGGCGAAGGAGAGAGGAAAGGAATCACGGGGTTGGGCTGTTTGTGTTCCCGCCTTGATTGCCGAATTGAGTGACTGGAGCGGATGGGGATTAGCAGCAGGGAGGTGCGGAGGTTGGCGGAGAGCGTGAGGGAATAGGCCAAGGCGAGGAGGAGCGAGAAGGCTGCTGAGAACCCCACGAGGAAACTGGCGATCTGCGGATGGGGGAGTGGAGGAGGGGAGGGGAGTGGCAGACTGAGTGACTGAGAGGCTTACTGACTGACATATTCACACCGTAAGCCTCTACGGTGACTAGTGACTGGTGATCACCAGTGCGTGCGTGCGTACCTGCGCCGGCAGCAGAGGCCAGAACCGCCGAACGAGCGCGACAGCAGCGGCGTAGCGCCCAAAAAGGACGGCGGCGAGCGCGAAGGAGAGCAGCGACTGCACCACCAGCACCGCCACCTTCCCAGCAGTACAGTGCCTCAGACCATACCATACCGTACTGCACCGTACCTGCGCCGGCAGCAGAGGCCAGAACCGCCGAACGAGCGCGACAGCAGCGGCGTAGCGCCCAAAAAGGGTGGCGGCGAGCGCGAAGGAGAGCAGCGACTGCGCCACCAGCACCGCCACCTTCCCCGGGAAGTCGATCCCGTAGTATGCGCGCAGGCGGAAGCTCGGCGGCGCCCGCTGCGCCGCCATCACGCGCTCCCCCCGTGCGCAGACGAGGGGGATAGGGAAAGAGGCGGATGAGGAGCAGTGGAAAGGCAACGCAGGGGTAACGAGGGAACGGCGCAACAGCGAGGCGCGGGGTGCGCGGGGAAAGAGGAGTCGGCGAGGAGGCTCGGTGCGACTCGGCTAGGCGGTCGAAGAAACAGCGAGGCGTCAGATCAACGGTTGTGATTGCAGAATTGGAAGAATTTTCTAAATTGCCGTCCCGTCGACGGGTCGTACCTACGAAGGCTACGATGACCAGATGACAGCCCGTACCAGGAGAATTCTCAGGATCGGAGACGCGCTGATTTCGCTGCGTTGATTCGTCGTGCGATCGCTCACTGGCAGAGGCGGAAAGCGGAGGAAAAAGCGGGGTAAGGAAGGGAAGCACGCGGCCCGTCAGCCAGCAGAGGCGAGGAATTCGTGGAGAAACGCGATCGCTTTGGTGGAATCCGTAAGATCTGCTTCGAAGCACAATACTAGCAAGCATACGCAGATCGTAGTACCGTTTTCACTAATGATTTGAAGGATCGAGCAGGGGAATCCTGACCGTTCGTTGTGCGATTCATCTGCGCGATCGAAATGGAATGTGGTGAACGGCGTTGGCAGCACGAGAAGGCGAAACGAAAATTCCCTCTAGCTGAGAGACGCACTACCAGTTACTGCTCGGTCATTTGTAGAGGTTATTGTTTCTGAGCACATTTGCTACATTACTGTTAATTCTCTTTCAGGCCATCCGTTTTCTCAGCAACAGTTTACATGTCATTGATAATCTTCTTATAGAACCATCTCTTATCGGGGTCCTCTACAGCGAGTGCTCTCTCCGTCAGCACTTGCTTTATTCTACACATGGATGCCTTCACCTGCCGCATGGAGAATGAGCATAGGAGCACATGGACACAGGCGGGACATGGTCCAAATGCAAGCGAAAAATGTATGAAGGTCGTTGTATGACTTGAGGCCAACCAAAACAGTTTACAAGAAAGGACAGCATTGCGAAATGTTACTGGCTTAATAAACAGTGGGAGTGGATGTGTACAAACCAGGAACAACGAAACACAAAAAACCCAGCCAAGGTCAAAGATCTTGTGAAGGTAACCCCGAGAAAAAAATTGGTGGAAGACAAGCCGTGGATTCAGACAGGAGCCGGGCAGTGGAAAAGGGTGAGAAAGAGAGAGAGAAAGGGTCCAGGCAAGGGGTGGGAGGTGGGAAACGCTGAGCGGATGAGGCTGCAACTTACAGGACGGATGTGGCAGCGCTGGGGATGGGATATCGAAGGGGATGGGGCGGGGAGCAAGACGAGGTGCGGGGAAACGGACAAGGGCGGGGGGAGCAGGCAAGGACGGAGGGGGGAGAGCGGGCGACTCACGAGGCGGATGCGGTGGGGTTGCACCATGCGGCGGCCCTGCGAGTGCTGCTGAGTCGCCCCAACAGGCGGGCAAGAACGGGGTAAAGCGAGTGAGGGGACTCACAAGAAGGGGACGCGGTGGGAGTGGTGAGGGGAGAGGGCGGTGATGGTAGTGGGAACACTCACGAGGCGGATGCGGTGGGGTTGCACCATGCGGCGGCCCTGCGACTGCAGCATCTGCTTCTGCGAGTAGAGCAGGTTCTTCTCCTTGAGCAGCACATACCACAGCGCATGTAGGTCCTCGAATGACTTGTGCCTCAGCTCCCACGCCTGCCACCCGCGCCCTGTGCGGGTTGAGGGGAGGAAAGAAGGGGTACGGGACGGTGCAGTGGGGTGAAAGCAGGCCGTGTGCGCACGAAAAATGCCCCAGCTCCCACGCCTGTCATTCTCGGGCTGTGTCTCGGGAAGCGGAGGGAGAACGGGAGGCCGTGGTGGGGAGAACGGAGGTATGGTGGATGGACGAAGCGACTGGATTCTACCCGTCCTCGCACGCCGCACGCATCGCGTCAGTCGCACAGACCTCCGACCCTACAGATCGTTGAAACACAGAAGGACAAGTAGTAGCCCCCACGAGCCGTTAGGTCAATTCTGCCGAGGGTGATCCCTAACGGCGGTTAGCCCTACCGGTGGTGACGGGCGCGTCGGGCGTGCTTTTGAGGAGCCTCACCAGTGATACCTAACAGCGTGAGCCCTAACGGTGGTGATCTCTAACGGCGGTCAGCCCTACCGGTGGTGACGGGCGCGTCGGGCGTGCGACCCTGCTCGAAGAAATCCGCGAGGCCGCTCTGCTGCGCGCTCGGCTGCTCGCTCTGTTGCCCGCTCTGGTGCCGCCGCTGCTGCTGCTGCAGTGCTGCGGGCAGCGACGGTCCTACCGCCACGGTGCCGCGCTGCTTCACCGCATTGCGACACGTGGCGGATAGCACCCTCGCGAGATGCATCCGTGGCAGGTGGCAGTGACACGACAGCAACTCTACAAAAAAAGCACGACCTAGGTTATGGATGTTGCGACGCCAATCCAAGAAGAGCGGGCGGAGGCTGCTTTTGGTCGTGGTAGGTTTTGGCTCGAGAGAATTTCATGAAGGGATCTGAAACTGGACTATTTCCGATGTAGTTTGTATGCGATGGTGCTTATTATCAACAAATACTGTCGAATCATTTTCAAGCGAACTTCTTTTCCTGGGGCAAGACTGCCACGGCCTGACAGATCTGGTTTCCGTCAGGGGCTCGGCCAAATGAGAAGTTACGTTCGGCTCGAAAGCAAGGGTTCGCTTCATTCTGTCCGTTCGATAATTACGTGAACTACGGAGAGCTCCTCGATGATTCTACCCTGGTCATGCTGGTTATCGAACTTTTGTGCATGCCAGCGGGGTGAGCGAGCCTGCCAGCCAGGCTGTTCGCCGAGTGCTCTCCTGGGTTGATGCACAGACGTAGAGGCTGCTTGCTTGCTTGCCGCTGGGAACCCAATTTCTACAATTAATTTCTCAAGAGACGCCATTGCGAGGACTCCGCTTGCTTCTCCCTGTCGGCTCTTTCGTCTTCCGATCGGTCTTTTACGCGGTCTACGTGTGCTCCTTGATCGTTCGGCAACGCTTGACCGAGGAACTCGAGCTGCGTCTGGAATTAAATTTCTGAGATTAATCCGGAAATTACTCTTTCTTGACTGTTATACACTCCATTTTCCTTTTCGCTAAACAGGAGTGAGTCACAATGGAAGGCGGGTCCGAAAATCCAGAAGGCACAGCAGAGCAGGACCCCTATTTTCAAAGCCTTGACTCGTTCTCGAAAGCGGCTGATTTCCCGGAAATAATTCCCGGCGGTCTTTCTGGCGGTCTTCCTGGCGGTACGCAGGTTACCGAGTTACCAACAGATGACGTGTTCGGCACTCCCACTCTTCCTGACGACGTGATAGGAGGTGGCGCCACGTGGACCAATCCTCCAATAGTTACAGCCAATGGCGACACTGGATATAATATCTCTGACGTGGCAAATGACGGCGGCGAAGTTAATGTTTCTTCTGTAGCTGGTGACGGCGAAGCCGCTACCGGTGCTAATCGTTCTGACCAAGGCAATCCCTGGGACATAACCGATGGTGCAGACGCTGATGCTGCTGACGCTGACGTGACTGACGGGACTAACGCTTCCGTTCCTGCATCTACTCCCGCTGATCTCGATATGACAGCTGAATCGCCGATTAACACTGTACAAGCTTCTGACCAGCGCGTTTTACATGACGATGCTATAACGGGGACGACAGCCGCTGCTGAAATCGAGCTCCCTGCAGCCGGACTGTTTAATGATGTTGAAGCCGAAGTGGAGGAGCAGAGCCGCGAGGAAGGGGAAGGAGATGGAGACGGGCAAATGGCCGCGACGAGAGAGGAGAATATTGGAGCGGCCAAGGGCGCTGATGCAGACGGGACGAGGCTAACGGAGAAAGAGGCAGTCGCCGCTTCAAAGCCGGCCAGCGGAACGGCACGGGAAGAAGCACAGTCGATTCAAGGCACGGCTCGCGAGGAGGCAGAGCCGGGAGCAGTGGCAGAGGGCAGTGGGGAAGAGGCAGGAACGACCGCGGGCGAGGCGCAAGGGCAGGGAGAAGGCGACGGGAGGGTGGCCGCAGAAGGGGGGACATCTGTCAAATATGAAGAGATCGGCGGAGAGGCGCGGCGGGAAACGACAGCAGAAGCAGAAACCGAGGCGGATCAAGCTTCCCGAGAGGGTCAGGGCTCCGCACAGGCAGATGGGGGGACTGTCGGCAATGGAGATGCTGCCGCCGCTGGTGATGGTGAAGGTGGTGTCAGTGATGCTGGTAATCGAAACGCCAACCTTCCGAGCACGCCGCTTCCCACTCCGCCTGATGCTCGCTCGCCCTCAGCTGCTCGCGTCTCGCCCGGATCTCCTGCTGGGGCCGACGCTGACGCTGCTGCTGCCGCTACGCCTATGGCCTTTGATGCTCCAACATTTGATGATTTAGACTTCGAAACTCCTGCGACGGACGTCAGCACACCTTCGACGACCGTCAACACTCCTGGTACAGGCATCAGCACTCCTGCTACAGCCGTCAGCACTCCTGCTACAGCCGTCAGCACTCCTGCTGCCACCCCCTCCGCTACTCCCGCCGCTACCCCCTCCGCTACTCCTGCCACCACACCCTCCGCCACTCCCGCAGCCACTCCTGCTATCCTCTTCGCCACTCCTGCTGCTACCACCTCCGCTACTCCTGCTGCCACCCCCACCGCCACTCCTGCAATCCTCTTCGCCACTCCTGCTCCTGCAGCGGGCGTCACCACCCCCTTAGCCTCGCCGCTTCCTGCTGCTCCCTCTTCCACCCCTCCTGCTGCCACTCCCGCCGCCACTCCTGCTGCCACCCCCTCTGCCACTCCTGCACCTGCAGCGGACGGCGTCACTACTCCCTTAGCCTCGCCACTTCCTTCCGCTGCCACTCCCACCCCTCCTTCCGCTGCCACTCCCACCCCTCATTCCGCTGCCACTCCCACCCCTCCTTCCGCTGCCACTCCCACCCCTCCTTCCGCTGCCACTCCCACCCCTCCTTCCGCTGCCACTCCCACCCCTCCTTCCGCTGCCTCTCCCGCCACTCCTGCAATCCTCTTCGCCACTCCTGCAATTTTTCGCGCCACTCCTGCACCTCCAGCGGACGGCGCCACTACTCCTTTAGCCTTGCCGCTTCCTTCCACTGCCACTCCCACTCCTCCTGCCACTGCCACTCTCAACCCTCCTGCTGCTCCCGCTCCCACCCCTCCTGCTGCTCCCGCTCCCACCCCTCCTGCTGCTCCCGCTCCCACCCCTCCTGCTGCTCCCACTCGCACCCCTTCTCCTGCTCGCACTCCTCTCCCTCCCTCTGCCGCGCTGTACCTGGGCAAACTGGTTCGGAAGAGGTTCGGCGACGTGGTGTTTCTGGGTCGGGTGTTTAAGTACGACCGGGAGGAGGGGTGGTACAAGGTTCGGTACGAGGATGGGGACTTGGAGGATTTGGAGGAGGGAGAGGTGGTGGCGCTGCTGGTGGGTCAAGAGGAGGAAAAGGCTGCTGCTGCGGAAGTTGATTCATGGTGAGTTCTTACGAGAGAGGTTGGGATGGGATGAGGGATGGGATGGGATTTGACTAATTGAATGTGGTGGGATGTGCTGAGAGTGGTGGGCACTGCTGGTGGGGCACGTGTAGGAAAAGGCAGCTACTGCGTAAGTTGATGCCTGGTGAGATGGCGTGACGAGAGGGTTGGATGGGATGCAATGGGATGGGGTGGGATGTAATGCTGAGATTGGGAAGCATTTGGTAGCGCATGTTTACGCGTGGATAGATAGAAGTGTTGTCATCTCTGTAACTCTCCGATTAATGTCTTCCAGGCTGCATTAAAAGCGCCAGGCGTTCTTGGTGGGTACGAGCAGCCCTTGTGTACCTCTGCGTTTCATGCATCCCAGGGTGTATCAGAAGCATCAGGCGTTTTTTAGTGAGGCGGAGGACGGCGTGTGTTAGAGTTACATTTGATTGAGAAATATGACTTTGAAATACCTTCTGTACTTCTCCTGTTTGCCTCTCCCTCTCCCAGGCCGCAGCAAAAGCGCGAGGCGTTTTTCAGCGAAGCAGAGGAGCCCGTTTTCGTAGAAGGCATGGCGGGGATGGAAGAGGGAGAAGGTGCTGCAGAGGGCACCGCGGGAGAGGCTGAGGGCACCGCGGGAGAGGGAGATGGAGCGGAAGGAAGGGCGGAGAGAGCGCGTGAGGGGAAGGCGGAAGGGCAGGAGCAGGCAGGGGAGGCGGAGCAGCAATTGGCAGTGGACGGTGCTGGCACGGCTGCAGCAGAGGAAAGGGAAGGGGCTGAGAGTGTTGGTGAAGCGGGTGATGGTGCTTTGCCTGGCACTCCCACCACTCCTGGTGGGGTTACCGCGTCCGGTGGGCTGATCACACCTGGCTCGCCTGTTACGCCCGCTGGATTGCTATCAGCCTCAGCGTCTCCCTTCTCTGGGAATAACGCCGCAGCAAGAACACCGGCAGCAACACCACCGGCAACAACGGCAGCAGCAGCAACAGCAGCAGCAGCAACGCCAGCAACAACAACGCCAGCAGCAGCAATGCGACCGGCAGTAACACCAGCAGCAGCAACGCCGCTCGCAGCAAAGCCAGTGGCAGTCTCAAGGCGACGAGCTGCCACTGCTGGCGCTGGCCCCAAAGCCAAGAGCCGGCGAGTCAAGACGCCGGTTACCAGAACACGTGTAACCAAGACCGCTGTAACAAAGAGCCCTGTTCGTGGCGGCAGGAAGGTCACGTCGCTCGAAGCTAAGAGCCCTGCTGCTAGAAGCGCCACCGCAAGCCCTATTGAAGGGCTTATGAAGAGCCCTGCTAAGTCCCCTGCTAAGAGCCCTGCTAAGTCCCCTGCTAAGAGCCCTGCTAAGTCCCCTGCTAAGAGCCCTGCTAAGTTTCCTGCTAAGAGCCCTGCTAAGTATCCTGCTAAGAGCCCTGCTAAGTATCCTGCTAAGAGCCCTGCTAAGTCTCCTGCTAAGAGCCCTGCTAAGTCTCCTGCTAAGAGCCCTGCCAGAACCCCGCGCAAGGGTGCTGCTAGTACACCTCCTACCAGGGCTGCCAGAGGCGCCGCTAAGAGCCCTGCTAAGACTCCTCCTATGTCCCCTGCCAAGAGCCCAGCCAGAACCCCTCGCAAGAGCCCTACCACGAGTGCTGCTAAGAGCCCTGCTAAGTCCCCTGCTAAGAGCCCTGTCAAGACCCCTCTGAAGAGCCCTGCTAAAAGCCCTGCTAAGATGCCTACTAAGGGCCCTGCTAAGAGCCCTGCTAAGTTCCTTGTTAAAACCCCTGTCAAGGCCCCTCTGAAGAGCCCTGCTAAGAGCCCTGCCAAAAGCCCTGCTAGAACCCCTCTCAGGAGCGCTGCTAAGACCCCTGAACGGAGCCCTGCGAAGAGCCCGCATCTCAGTTCTGGCAAGGTTACGCCCAGAAAGAGACAGGCTGAGGCAGCAGCAGAGGGGAGCAGTGCTGCTAAGCGACGCTCCCTTGAGAGACAGTCTGTGGGTAGTAGCAGTGTGGGGCGTAGCACTGCAAAGGCAGATGCTGCCAAGGCTGCAATCGGAGGTGCTTGGGATGCAATGATAGGGACGGACAGATGGGTAGGAGGGACAGGGAGGAGAGCAGGGGCTGTCAAATGGGTGACTCCTGTCAGGCGGGGCGGCAGAGGGGTGGCAGGGGGTGTTGGGGTTATGGGGCGAGCGGCAGGGGGTGTTGGGGTTATGGGGCGGGCGGCAGGGGGTGTGGGGCGGGCGGCAACAGGAGTGGGGAAGAGGAAGAGCAAGAGTTTTTCAAGGCGTGTGTCTGAAGGCGTAGGGGTGAAACCAGTGAGGCTCATGCTTGGGGTTATGGGGCGGGCGGCAGGGGGAGTGGGGGTTATGGGGCGGGCGGCAGGGGGAGTGGGGGTTATGGGGCGGGCGGCAGGGGGAGTGGGGGTTATGGGGCGGGCGGCAGGGGGTGTGGGGGTTATGGGGCGGGCGGCAGGGGGTGTGGGGCGGGCGGCAACTGCAGTGGGGAAGAGGAAGAGCAAGAGTTTTTCAAGGCGTGTGTCTGAGGGCGTGGGGGTGAAACCAGTGAGGCTGCTGCTGGGTGGGCAGAGAGCACACGCCGACGCAGGGACACCGGGAAAGGCAGGGGCACCGGGCAAAGCAGGGACACCTGCGAAAGCAGCAACACCGGCTAAAGCAGGGAAGGAAGTTATGGCAGCTACAGCAACAACGCCAGTGAGGGTGAAGGTGAGTGCTTGAGAAGGCTGTGTATTACTGTTAGGGAGAAAGTGGGTGATCAGAAGGTGTGAGTGGTAAGAAAAACAACATGTAACTTCCACTCTCGTCACTCACGTCCTCTTCCCTTCCTTGCCTTTCTCTCCGCCCCTTCCACCCTCAGACCCCTCTTTCCCGAGGCAGGGCACTGGGCCACCCGTCCTCCCGCCATGCGCTCACAGCAGCAGCAAAGCCCCGGGTGCTAGCCAGGCGGCTGTCAGTGGAAGCCAGGCGCCTCTCATCAGCTGCCTCCACCCCGCCTCCCCGTCCCACTCCTCCTGCTCCCTCCCCTCCACCTGCTCTCGCCTCTCCTGCTGCGTCCACTCCCCTAACGCGTCGGTCACGAGTGAGTGATAGGCTGTCAGTCACTCCCACACACGCGACTCCTGGGAGGGCTCGAAAGTCGTCAGCCCCTTCCAGGCGATCGAGCATGGGTGCAGGAGGTAGAGGGGCTGCTGTGCTGGTAGCAGCGGCAGGGTTGCCTGCCAAGTCACCTGCTGCGACACCTGTCAAGTCACCTGCCACAACCCCTGTCAAGTCACCTGCCACAACCCCTGCTAAATCACCTGCCAAGTCTTCTCCAAACTCACCTGCCAAGTCACCTGCCAGTTCACCTGCCTATTCACCAGCCAAATCCCCTGCCAAGGCACCTTACAGAAGCGCAAGCAGGTTCGGCCCCAAACCAACCAGTGCGTCCACGTCTGCATCGCCTGCCATGGCCCCTCCCAAATCAACTGAAAAAACACCTGAGAAAGGACAAGGCAAGGGGAGGAAGACCAGGGGCTCACGTGAACCTGCTGCTGATTCTGCTGATGCTGCTTCTGCTGGTGCTGGCCCTGCTGGTGCCTCGGGAACTTCAAAGGGAAGGCCGCTGAGATCAAAGCGCAGAGCAATGGAGGGAGAGGAGGTGGAAGAGGTGGAGGAGGAGGAGGGGGCTAAAGGCCGAAGAGGTGGGGCAAGGAAGCGAGGAGGTGTGAAAGAGCAGCCCGAAGGGAAGAGACGCAGGGTGACTCGTGTAGCTGCTGCTGCCACTGCTGTTGCTCTTGTTTCTCCCGCTGCTGCTGTTGCGAGTGGTTCTCCTGTTGTTGCTGGTACTCCTGGTGCTGCTGGTGCAGGGGAGGCTAAAGGTGTAGGTCGAACCAGGAAGGGAAGGAAGGCAGTAGCTACTGCACCACCAGCACCAGCAGCAGCTACCACACGAGCAGCAGCAGCAGCAGTAACTAGAGCGACAAGGGCGAGCAGAAGGGTGGCAGAAACAGCGCAAGTGACGGTAGTGGAAGAGGAAGAGGAGGAGGAGGAAGAGGAGGAGGATGAGGAGGAGGAAGTGGTACTAGTGAGCGAGGTGCAACCGGTGCGAGGAAGGAGGGCGATGCAGGTAGTGGCAGGGAAGGGAGATGTTCAGGAAGGGTCAGTGGAAGTGGGAATGGTGGAAGGAGGGGGGTCTGGTGGGCGCAGTGGTGGAAGGGGAGGAAGGGGAGGAAGGGGGGGGAGAGGAGGAAGAGGAGGAGGGGGAGGACGAGGAAGAAAGGCTTCAGAGGGAGTGGTGGAGGTAGGAGCTGTGCGAGAAGAGGTAGTGGAAGTGGGAGTGGGAGTGGAAGTAAGGTCTCCTGCGTCTGGTGGTGGGAGGGGAAGAAGAGGAAGTAGAGGGCGCGGGAGAAGAGGGGCAGGGAGGGCTCGAGGTGCAACGGAAACAGCAGCAGCAGCAGCAGCAGCAGCAGCAGCTGCTGCTGTTGTTGCTGGGGGATCAGCGGCACAGGCACCGGTGGTGGTGGAGGAGGAGGAAGAGGACGATGCGGTACAAGTGGTGGAAGAGGTGGGAGAAGGCAAAGAGGTGGGAGAAGGCAAAGAGGTGGGAGCAGCTGCCACAGGGACAGGTGTGCGCGGGGGTGGAAAGGGAGGGCGTGGAAGGAGAGGGCGAGGGGGAAGAGGAGCAGGGACTAGGGCACGAGGAGCAAAGAAAACACCAGAGCCAGCAGCAGCAGCAGCAGAAGTGACAGTTTTGGAGGAGGAAGAGGAGGGAGGGGAGGAAGAAGTGCAAGTGGTGGGAGATGAGGAAGCAATTGAGATAGGAACGGAAGGGGAGGGGGTCCAAGAGGTGAGAAGTGGGATTTCTGGTGGTCGCGGAGGTGGTAGGGGAGGAAGAGGAAGGAGAGGGCGAGGGGGGAAAGGAGCAGGGACTCGGGCAACGCGCGGGGCAGCAGCAGCAGCAGCAGCAGCCAAACCAGCAGCAGCAGCAGTTGAGGTAACAGCTACTGCAACAGCAGACGAGAGTGGCAAGGCAGCAGCAACAGGAGCAAGGCGGGGCAGGAAAAGGGGTGCTGGAGAGACAGGGGAGGCAGCTGGAGCGAGTAATTGGGGAGTGGAGGAAGAGAGTGGTGCGGGCAAGAGAAGGCGTCGGGGAGGGCCTAGTGTGGTTTCTACCCCTGCCCGTGCTTTATCAGCGGCTGCCCCTTCTGCCGCTGGTTCTGCCCCTGCTGCCCCTGCCGCCGCTGCCCGTGCTTCCCCTGCTGCCCGTGCTTCCCCTGCTGCCCGTGCTTCCCCTGTGGCCCCTACTGCCGATTCGGATGAAGCAATGGAGGTTGTTGAAGTGGCGAGCACCAAGAGCACTCGAGGCAGGGCGGTGGGGCGGGCAGGGAGAGCCGCGGCAGAACCTGCAGGCAAGGAAATTCGTGCTCGAAAGGCAGGAGCAGGGAAGGCGGGTGCCGAAAAGGCAGATGCGGGGAAGATGGAAGTGCCTGAGGTGGATGTGGGTGCAAGCAGTGTGCGAGGGGCGCGGCACACAAGGCGGTGGGGTGCTGCAACGACCAGCACGGCAGCACTGGTTTCCCCCACTGCGCGTGCAGCAGGATCAGCAGCTGCAAGAGCGGCAGCAGTAGCAAGAGCTGATGAGGAGGAGGGAGTGGTTGAGCTGGTTGTGACACCCGCCCGCGCTCCTGCCACTGCTGGTGCTGGTGCGTCAAGAAAGACCCGGGCGAAGAGAGCAACTGCAGCTGCTTCCTCTCCTGCTGCTACCCCTGCTACCCCTGCTGCTGCCACTGCTGCTGCCAGTGACTATGATGCTGCTGCTGCATCGTCTGAGGAAGCTGTTGCTGGTGTTGCTTCAGGGGGTGGGCGGGCCGGTGCAAGAGGGAGGGGTGGAGCAAGCGGCAGCGGCAGAGGGAGCGGGAGGGGCAGTCTTGTGAGTGCGCTGAGAGGGGGGAGGAAGGGAGGGACTGGTGATCGACACGTGGGGTTCATGGTGGGTACTCCGGGGGGTGGCCTCAGGCAGACACCGGAAAGGAGCGCGGGAAGGAGGAAGAGCGATGTGATAGCGGCACGGGGAGGAGGGATGCTGTCGCCGGGCAGGGGTGGAGGAGGAAGGAGGAAGATCGATGTGATAGTGGCGAGAGGAGGGGGACGGGGGAGAGGGGCGCGGGGGAGAGTGCGTGGGTGGGGTCGTGGAGGGAAGGGGAGAAGGGTAGTGGAGGTGGAGGAGAGGGGAGATGAGGAAGAGGAGGAGGATGAGGGAGTGGAGGAGGTGAGGGTGATGGAAGAGACGGTTGACCTTGCATCAGAAGAGGAGGAGGATGAGGAAGAGGAGGAGGAAGAAGATGATGAGAAGGTGGTTGATCTTGAAAGTGAGGAAGAGGAAGAGGAAGAGGAAGAGGAAGAGGAAGAGGAGGAGGAGGAGGTAGAGGAGAAAGAGGAGCAGGGAAGGGGGCAGAGAAGGGGTAGAGGCCGAGGGGCGAAAGCGAGCGCGGTTGAGAGCGGTGAAAAACGTACAGTGCGTGGAGGGAGGAGGGCAAGAGGGGGAGTGAGTCCTGTGAAGAGAGGAGGTAGAGGGGGAGCAGCGGCCAGTCCTGTTCAGGGAGGAGGCAGGGGGAGGGGAGGGGCGAGTCTTGTTAAGCGAGGTAGAGGAGGGACTGTGGCAAGTCCTGTAAAGGGAGGAGGAAGAGGGGGGACAGGGGCAAGTCCTATGAAGAGAGGAGGCAGGGGGGGTGCAGGGGGGAGTGGCAGGGGGATAGGGGGTGGGACTGCAGCGGGAGCAAGTGGAGTGGTCAGGCGGTCGAGTAGGAGGGCCGCTGCTGCTGATAAATGAATGGTGATATTTGCCAGGGGCGAACGTGGGAATGAGCTGTTTGGCTATCAGATAGGTGGAGGAGTGGAGTGCCCGAGCAGTTGAAGCAATAACATTAGTGGAGTGGACGGAGTGGGCATGTCAACATCTCCGAACCCGTCCGTCACGGCATGCCTTTTCCCACATGATGGAGAGTGCATCAGAGGGCCGTGGAGAATGACTTTTGAGTCGAGTTGAAAGTTTCTCATCATGGAGAGTGCTTCAGAGGACGGTGGAAGGAGGGTTATGATGCTGCTGAATTGACCAACTCTCCTCACTGCAAGAAAGGGAAGGGCAGAAGGGAGGGGGAGTATAGTTTTTTAGTCAAAGGCCTGCTGCTGCAATTGAGATGAATTTAAGTATGGGCTGGAGGGGGGGTAGGAGTGGGGCAGTGAGCAATTGATTAAGGGATGTTGGGTGGGGTTCTAGTGTGGTCAGGTTTAGGTAAGGGTGGGTGAGATGTTGGGTTGTTCAGTGAGAGGCTGTGGTGGATGGCATGTCTGGGTGTAGTGCACAATACTATGCACTAGGGGCAGCATCTTGTGCTAGTTTTAACTTGTTTAAAGGAGGCTTTGCATCTATGCAGTAGGGTATTTGAATATTACTACAGTACGTCCTTTTTTTGTCATTCTAATAATAGTTTCTGACTCAAATGATGTACAAACGACAGCTGAGGCAGCCCTTCCAATTGCTACGCTTTCCCCCAATTCCAACCTCTACTCTAGTCCACAGCGAGAAGGCACCTAGAGAATGCGGTGAAGCGGTTCACCATGTGACCGATGTCATCTGTGCCACACATCTCCCGAATGCTGTGCATCGACAGCTGAGGCACCCCCACATCCACGGTACCCTCCCCTCAGCCCCCAACCTCTACTCTAGTCCACGGTAAGACTGGCATCCAAGGCAGGAAAATCCTTGAAGAATGCAGTGAAGTGGTTCACCATATGCCCGATGTCATCTGTGCCACACATCTCCCGGATGCTGTGCATCGACACGATAGCCGCCCCTCCCCCACTGCTACCCTCTCCCCTTTGCTCTACTCCACGGTAAGAGTAGCATCCAAGGTGGGGAAATCCTTGAAAAAGGCAGTGAAGTGGTTGACCATATGGCCAATGTCATCTGTGCCACACATCTCCCGGATGCTGTGCATCGACAGCTGAGGCGCACCCACATCCATGGTACCCTCCCCCCAGCCCCCAACCTCTACTCTAGTCCACGGTCAGACGAGCATCCAAGGCAGGGAAATCCCTGAAGAATGCAGTGAAGTGGTTGACCATATGCCCGATGTCATCTGTGCCACACATCTCCCTTATGCTGTGCATCGACAGCTGAGGCGCCCCCACATCCACGGTGCGAATGCCGGCTCCTGACGCGAGGATGGGGCCGATGGTGCTGCCACACCCCGTGTCATTGCGAACCACAAAGTCCTGCCAGGGGGGGTGGTTGGGACGGGGGGGGGGGGGGAAGGCAGAGAGAGGAGGGGTTTGGATGAGGCCGCACGGATGGTGCTCCAGTGCGCCCACAGTGCTAATGCCGGCTCCTGACGCAAGGATGGGGCCGATGGTGCTGCCACACCCCGTGTCGTTGCGCACCACAAAGTCCTGCACGAAGGGGGGAAGGGGGAGAGCGAGTAAGAGGAGGAAAGGGGTGCGTTTCAGACGTCACATAGAAGGTGCTGCTGCACCCCCTGTCATTGCACACCACAAAGTCCTGCCTTGGGAGAGGTTGTGGGGGGATGGCGAGGGGAGGGAAGGGGATGGGAGGGGAAGCGAGGGAAGGTTCGAGGGGGTTATTAGTAAGGTGACATGAAACGGTGCCCGCACGTCCCCACGTCACATAGAAGGTGCTGCCACGCCCCGTGTCATTGCGCACCACAAAGTCCTGCCTTGGGAAAGCCCTGCTACTAACGCTCTTGCTCAGCTGCATGTGGATGCTGTGTGACCGAGCGTGACCAAGCGTGACCAAGCGTGACCAAGCGTGACCAAGCGTGACCAAGCGTGACCAAGCGTGACCAAGCGTGACCAAGCGTGACCAAGCGTGACCAAGCGTGACCAAGCGTGACCAAGCGTGACCAAGCGTGACCACTGGTCACAGCTTCACTCTGCTCACACCTTCACCCTCTGCTCACCTGCACGGGGATGCCGTGGCACGTGGCGACCTCGCGGAAGAGAGCAGCGGTGACAGCAGTGGTGGCGTAGCGCTGGTTGGCGTTGTGCTTGATGACCAACCCCTTGTGCATCTTCGGCTGATGTAGCTCCTCGTGCCTCTCCTGTTGGATGGGAGGCAATGGGCAGGTGAGTGGAAAGGGCCTCTCATAAACGAGCGGCAGTGACAGCAGTGGTGGCGTAGCGCTGGTTGGCGTTGTGCTTGATCACCAACCCCTTGTGCATCTTCGGCTGGTGTAGCTCCTCGTGCCTCTCCTGTTGGATGGGAGGCGATGGGCAGGTGAGTGGAAAGGGCCTCTCATAAACGAGCGGCAGTGACAGCAGTGGTGGCGTAGCGCTGGTTGGCGTTGTGCTTGATCACCAACCCCTTGTGCATCTTCGGCTGGTGTAGCTCCTCGTGCCTCTCCTGTTGGATGGGAGGCGATGGGCAGGTGAGTGGAAAGGGCCTCTCATAAACGAGCGGCAGTGACAGCAGTGGTGGCGTAGCGCTGGTTGGCGTTGTGCTTGATCACCAACCCCTTGTGCATCTTCGGCTGGTGTAGCTCCTCGTGCCTCTCCTGTTGGATGGGAGGCGATGGGCAGGTGAGTGGAAAGGGCCTCTCATAAACGAGCGGCAGTGACAGCAGTGGTGGCGTAGCGCTGGTTGGCGTTGTGCTTGATCACCAACCCCTTGTGCATCTTCGGCTGGTGTAGCTCCTCGTGCCTCTCCTGTTGGATGGGAGGCGATGGGCAGGTGAGTGGAAAGGGCCTCTCATAAACGAGCGGCAGTGACAGCAGTGATGGCGTAGCGCTGGTTGGCGTTGTGCTTGATCACCAACCCCTTGTGCATCTTCGGCTGGTGTAGCTCCTCGTGCCTCTCCTGTTGGATGGGAGGCGATGGGCAGGTGAGTGGAAAGGGCCTCTCATAAACGAGCGGCAGTGACAGCAGTGGTGGCGTAGCGCTGGTTGGCTTTGTGCTTGATCACCAACCCCTTGTGCATCTTCCGCTGGTGCAGCTCCTCATGCCTCTCCTGTTTGTATAGAGGTGGGGGCGGTTGGAAAGCGGATGGAAAATGGAAGAAGAGGGGAATGTAATCACCTACTAGCAAGGGGAGGACGAAGAGGAGGCACCAATGGGGTGGTGGCCGTGTGCCATGTCTGACAGTACAGCTCACTCCTTCACAAAGGCAGTACGCAAAGATGAGCAAATCTCATGAGGGCACTGATGTGATGGGGTAGTCAGGGATGGTAACAGTGCACATGTCTGCTGGCAACATTAGCACTTTTGAATGAATGGGAAGACGGAAATGTGAGACGACTTAGAAACGAATGGGGCTAGGGAGGGCACTGACAGGGTAGTTGGGGTGGTGGCAGTGGGCCATGTCTGCTGACACCACAAAGCTCTTCTGGAGTGACCGCTCCACCACTCCCTGCCATGTGATGAGGTGGGTGGGGCGCGGTGGGATCGGATGGGATGGGATGGGACGCATAGGGTACGTCGGCTGAGTAATTGCACCCACCTCATCCCATACAACAAAGCTCTTCTGGAGTGACCGCTCCACCACTCCCTGCCATGGGGCGGGGTCGAGTGGTGTAGTGTGGGGTGGGGTGGGGTGGAGTGGGGTGGGATAGGATGGGATGGCATGGCATGGCACGGAATGGCACGGCAGCAGCAGCTGCTGCTGCAGCATCAGTGGCAGCATTGAAGCGACAAACAGCTTGCAGCAACGAGCAGCAGAGGGGGGGCAGCACCCTGAGCGGAGTCACAAGGAGTGACTCTCACTCTCCCCTCACTGTCCTCTCACCACTCACCTCAGCAGGCGAAGTAGTAGCAGCAGCAGCAGTGGCAGCATTGCCACAGCGAATGGCGTCGAGCAGCAGAGGAGAACCCGCGGCCTGAGCTGAGTCACTGGGAGTGACTCACGCATTCCCCTCGCACCCCTCTCACCACTCACCTCCGATGCACCAGCAGCATTGCTAGTGCAGGCAGCATTGACCCTTCGAATGGCATCGAGCAGCAGAGGGGAGCCCGCGCCCTGAGCGGAGTCACTGCCACACTCCTCATTGTCAAACAGCAACACCATGCGCACCCCGCTCTCCGCCTCCTCGCTCTCACTCTCACTCTCCCCTGCTGCCAGTAGTGCCTGCACAAAAGACGAGGAGCCAGGGCAAGGAGTTAGGTGGGGTTGACAGGGCCATCAAGGGTCGCTGCCACACTCCTCGTTGACAAACAGTAGCACCATGCGCACCCCGCTCTCCGCCTCCTCACCGTCCGCTTCTCCTGCTGCCAGTAGTGCTTGCAGGAGAAAAAGGGAGCGGGCACAGTGGGGTTGATATAGCAATCAGAAGTGAGTCGCTGAGCATAGTCACTGCTACACTCCTCATTGTCAAACAGCAGCACCATGCGCACACCGCTCTCTGCCTCCTCACTGTCGGATTCTCCTGCTGCCAGTAGTGCCTGCAGAGAGAAAGAACGGAGGGAGAAATGATAAATAAGGGGAAAGGTGGACCATCAGGAGTTGCTTACGGTGGTAATGAGGGCAAGAAGGGCGTGCAGAAGGCAGTGGGAGGGCGTGCAGAAGGCAGCGGGAGGGCGTGCAGAAGGCAGTGGGAGTGTACTTGTGAGAACTGTGAGATGCTGGGTGCGACACTGCGAAGCCAGATACATATGCTGTGTGCACAACGGTTAAGAAATTATCTTGTTGGGAGCAGAGCAGAGCAGCGCAGGTTCAGTGGGGAAGAAGTTACCGAAAAAGGCTACCAATAATACGTTGAAGAACCTGTTTGAAAATGTCTACAAAACAAGCGTGTTCAAAAAGTACCTGAAGAGCAGCAAAGGAAGAAGCAAGGTTGTCAAGGCGGCCAGAGAAGACAAACTCGTTGAGAGCACCGGCGATAGCGCTGGGGTGTGTGTCGCACAGCTGTAGATCGAAATCCGCTATGGCTGATGGTGAACAGCCTAGCTCGGACGCCAGGAGCTGGAGCATGTGATGGGAGAGAGAGAGGGAGGAGCGTAAAGCGGGGGACAGATGTGGATTGAGCATGAGGGGTGACTGAGCATCGTGACTGAGCATCGTGACTGAGCATGTGGGGTACTGCCACAAGAGCTCATAATGCGTCAAGAGGATCACCTGCAGCAGCATTTGGCGGTGTCCCTCGGCGGCCTTTCCTTCTTCCCCTTGCCCTTCTCCTTGCCCTCACCTTCCTTGTCATCATCCCCACCCTCACTTTTGAGTGGACTCAGCAGTCACCTCACCTGCAGCAGCAAGGGGTGGTGCCTCTCAGCGCTCTCATCCTTCTTCCCCTTGCCCTTCTCCTTGCCCTCCCCCTCCTTGCCACCACCCCCACTACTACCATTTTTTAGTTGACTCAAGGGTCTCTTCACCTGCAGCAGCAAGGGGTGATGCCTCTCAGCGCTCTCGTCCTTCTTCCCCTTGCTCTTCTCCTTCGCCTCCCCCTCCTTGCCGCCTGTTTCACTCGCAGGGGCTGGTCGGTTCAGCTCCTCCTGTGGCACACACAGTTAGGCGAATCCAATAAGGCGCATATGAGAGGCGAACAGGTGAGATGAGCAGGTGAGATGAGGAGGTGAGACGAGCAGGTGAGGAGGGCAGTCGGGTGAGGGGAGGAGATGAGTGGCGAATAATTGAGAGGAGGGGTGGAGAGAGAGGGGAGCGACGGACCTTGATGGCAGTGGCGAGGACAGGCAGCAAGTGCGTTTGAGTATTGGGCTTAAACCCACTCGTGTTCACCTCCCTGTGAGTGAACGGGAACAGGGAAAGCGAGACAGGCATGCCAGATAGACACGTGGGAGGTAAGTGGAAGGGGAAGACGAGGAGAACGGCAAGTGTGGAGGAGGAATGAAGGAGGAGCAGCACAACAGCAGACCGCGACGACTCTAAAGCCCACACAACCCCGCCAGAGTGCCTTACCCACCTGTCGAGGTGAATGGCGAGTGTGGGGATACGCATGATGGGCCGATCAATCTTCACTAGGCGATGCTCCAGCAGCACCCGCGC